ATTTCATAGAGTTGAAAGAGATTGGCTTAAAAAAGAATGTAGTATTTTTTAATCCTAGTTGTTAGTACTTAGAATCAAGGTTTAATTGCATTTAGTGGTAATTTCTTCTTAAGCTTTGAGTAAAATCCAAGATCCTTAAGAAGATATAGAATTATTGTGAGAATTCAGTTCACTTCGGCATGCATTGGGTTTCTCTTATGTGCTGGGCCCTGTGTTAGATGTGTGGGCATAAAATATGCTTCCTCACCTCGGCTGCTTGGCGAAAATTGAAGGAGGCTGGCACTTCAACACACAACCAAATGCTGATGTCTGGAGCCTTGGCACAGGGATATGCCAGGGTTGGGAACATGGGAGAGGGCATCTGAAATGTCTCCTCACTCCCTGAAAACTGACTAATCCCATTTATATGAAACCTTCAGATCCTCCTTCCCCCTCCCCATGCTGAAATTCAGGGACCTGGGTTTGGGGAGGAACAGATTCATGATTAAGTTGTAATTCAAGTTCCTTTTGTCTGAGGTCATTGGCTCTCTTCAAGATATTTACAGGACTGAATGAGGTGAGGAAGGCCTCAGCACACTCCCAGATGGGGAGGCAGAGAAGTGGAGAGCAGGTGAGAAGGCCTAGAGATGAGGTCTGGTTCTGTCGTGGACTAGTCGCCTCACTTTGCTTAGACTACTAACTTTTGCAGACACCATTTCCTTCTGTATAAATGGATGGGGTTGGAGCAGATGGTCTCTGAGGTCCCTTTCAAATCTGATTTTCCTGGGCTCTAAATTTAGCCACAGTGCTCGACATTCTAGCAGAAGAGTTGGTGACTGAGCTTCATGGAGGCCTTATCTACTGGAGGAAATGTGCTGCCTGTACTTTTTCACACAGGGTCCCCCAGCTTACCTTGGGCCCTTAGAGGTGTCCTGGGAACTGTCTCAGAGAGTCATGGTGGGGTTAGTTGTATTGGTGAGGTGCTCCCATCAACTCCTCATTTTTTAACCAGGGCAACTTTCATCTGTTTTTATACTGGAATTACATTTAAGACTTCCTTGAATTAAAGGGGATCCTTCACTTGAAACGATCTTTGAAATCCTGTCCTGGTAAAAATGAAGGGAAATTAAAAACAAAAACAAAACAAAACAAAACTCTGCACTCCCCTTCACTGGAAAACTGCGGGACAGAAAGCTTGGATCTTGGGTCAGATGATGGCATCTGGGAAGCATAGGAGTGATGAACGTTTGCAGTGTCTCTAGGCTGTCACTTCAGACAGTTTTCTTTGAAAGTGCTCCCAGCTGTAATGGACTGATTTTCAGTGGTGCCAGGAATTCCCTTACTGCTGGGCTTACAAATGTAAATGTCTAATGAGGCCAAGCAGGTAAGTGCATTAGTGAAGTAAGTAGCATGTAAGACAGTAAGGAGTGGTAGGGACTGCAGAACTGGAAAAGCTCAAGCCCAGTCTAAAGGGAGCCACGTTTTCTTATCTTAAGTGGATCACTGCCACCAGTGATCATTTGCCAGAAATTGAGGACCCATCTTTTGATTTTTCAGAAGTTAGAAATCTCAATTAGATAAAATTTAAAAAATTTTTAAACATTGTGCAGGAAAAACACGGTTGGTCTGTTGTTTGAATTTAGCCTGAGAGCCACTAGTTTGCAAATTCTGCTTTGGAGAAACACTTTGCTCAGAGTCACCAATACACACAATTCCTATCATTTGGAAGATGATATTATGCTTATGTTAAAACGAGCTTAGATCAGTCACTGGCTTCCACCATTTCTATGATTATTGTTGTTGTCATAGGCTGGCAGCCTTGGTAAATGACAAAGCAGTGGACAAGCCACTCACAGCCAGTTGTTGTAACGCGCAACCCTGGTGCATATTTTACTCCTGTTACTCTCATTTAAAGCTAGATTTTGTGCAAGGAAAATAAAAGCATGGGAGAGAGTGGCACTTCCTAATATCCAGGATCACGATACAACTCCTTTCTTGTGGTAGCTTTCAGTTAATGCTATGCATGATTTGTAATGAGTAAGAAATTGTGTGATCATTATCTCAACCATATGTGTGATGTCCCAATAAATAGAATTAGATTCAATACTATTAAAATCCCCTTAAAAAGGTAAGAAAGAGGTCTCCCTTTTTCTTATATTTCCACTCCTATTGATAAAAGAGAAAGAACAGACCAAAAGCAATGGTTTGAAAATAGCAGCAACAATAATCAGAGAAGAAATCAGAGGCTGATAATACAGTGATATGTATTACAAATATTTTCCCAAGAGAATAACAGATAGTTTTTAACATTAGGTAACATAGCTTCTCTGTTTTAATAATGCATGCAAAAACTGAACTACAAAAAAAAGGGGGCTAGGTTTTCTTTTCATTTATTTTTCTCTCTGGTGTTTTTTGAAATCAGTTAAGAGGCTCTTGCTATACTTTAGGTGAGGAAAAAAATCTCATTTGGACTAAAATAGTTAACAGTGGAGAGAATGACATAAATGCACTCGAAAAGTATATAGAAGGCAAATTCAACTGAATTTGATGATGGCTAGGCTCTGGGGGCTGAGAAAGAAAGCAGTATCAAGGTTGAATGAGTTTGTTCAACTCTGGGTATGTGGTTATGGAAGTTAAGTAGGTGCATGGGATTTGCATCACAGTTTCATGTGAAATATTATAATATTAGTATTAGCTAAAGCCAGGAAAGCCAAACCTCATGCCATGTGCTACATTGCGTGATACTCAGGAAAAGCCTGACAAATAGCCTTTTACTTTTCCTCAAGGCAAGTAGCAGTTTATATCAGGCAGGCAAAAATTGTAGGTTTTATTGTAGTCACAATATACCTAGTTAAGATTATTGCTGAAACAAGAGTGTAGGGGGAAACACTTTTCATACCAATTTTAAGGGTGGACTGGTTAGTGGCTAGTGATCAAATGAGCCAACAGTTAAGACAGTCCCCACTAGTTAGAAATGTTAGGGGATTTTACTTGCTGTTGAAGATAGTGGCTTGATGCACAAAGGAGGATTGTTGTGTGCAGTTCTCAAAATGCTTCATAATAATTTTTACCAGCAGTCCCTATGGAAGGTTTATTTTTGGGGGAAGGGAAGGCAGGGGACTGGGTCATCAACATTTCTTACTCCATTAAAGATTAACAGTGGCATTAAGGGAACCAAATGGCTTTGGTCAATGTTGCAATTTTGAAGAAACTGGTTAAGATTCAAAATTTCAACTCTGAGGCTGTCAACAAGTTTCAGAGTTGCAATTTTGAATCTTAATCAGTTTCTTAAAACAAAACAAACAAAAAACCCCACAACAAAAACAGAAACAACTACAGTATAATCAATCCTAAATATGTTGTCTATCATTTGATTGCTCATGTAGCAGATGTAGCCACCCCATGAAATGTTTCCATTCTTTGCCATTATCCAAAACCTAGAAATTTAAAGACGTCATTAGTCTTAAATAAATATCCAAGAATCTCTTCACTCTTCTCAAGCTAAATTGATTATCAGCTGTGATCACTCTGATGCGTTTACCCAGTCATAACTTCTCAATTGTTTTTAACAGATTAATGTTTGTCTTTCATTGTGGGGTTAGTGGAAAGGTTGGAGTTGGAGAGGAATGAGTTCGAGAAAGGCAAAAATAAATTAAAATAAAATAAAATGAAATAAAATAAAAAAACTTAGCTGTTTTTAAATGACTGGTGATAGTAAAAAGAAACTGTCATCACTAAGCCCGTTTGCACCCCCCTCCCCCAGAATAGAAATGCTGAGCTAAACTATGAATGACCATACTAATTTTGGAGCCTAAATATAACCAGTGAGACTCTCTCTAACGCTTATTCGCCATGCTTATTTGAAAAGGAAAAATGGAAGGGCTGACTAGCAAGAGTGAGAGATACGATTTGTCAGGATGCTCTGGGGAAGTAGCTACCAGAAGAAGGATCCCACTGCTGATTTTATCTGAAATGGTGCAGTGTATGATGGTCCTTCTGAGAACCATACCCTTAGGAAACTCTTTTAACTGTCCCTGCTTCCTGGATGGCCCCAGGACTGGCAGTGACTTTCTAGAATTGCTGTGGATACATGACCTCCTCATCTCCCACTCCTCTAGATACCACGTCCCCCTAAGTGCCCTGGATCTGAAGTCGTTTCTGAAAAGGCAAGCTGTTGCCTCTGCTGTCAGCACTGACTCTGTGTTTGCTTGGCTCCCTAGTTGCTTTCACGAGACTTTTTGTCCCATGCTTATTGAGTGGTTCGAAGCAGATTTCATTTTCTCAAATGCTATCTTGAAAGGAAATCTGTTTGAATTGATGTGAGGCAGTAACAATTAGACAACTCAGTTAAGAAATGTAGGATCCATAGGAAACAGCTATTTTTTTCTTTCCCTTTTTGAGGATCTCTCTCTATTTTTTAAATGACTCCTCTCCTAATAGTTTCAGATCCTGAAAACTTTGTCCTGAAAAACATCTTCTTTGAGGTGAGAGTTCATTTGTTTCATCCACATCAGAGTCTGTTTTGCCAGTTCTTTCCGGCTCCATAACTCTCCAACTGTCTTCTGCTAGGTGTCACCCAGCCTGTTGAACGGACAGTTACTGCCTCCTGAATGCCTCTGGGCAGTTATGTGTTTGAGCCTGGGGGGCTCGAATGTGGATGTTCCGACAATGTCAATGTGGCCTCTCCTTTCAGCTTGCTTTGTTTATCCAGCAGCTCATTACTTAAGACTAGCCTGTCAAAATCAGTCAAATATTCTTTGGGAAATATGGTCACATCCGTGAGATACCACAAATATGTTTAATACAGAGAAGATTGGCTTGATAAGAAAAACATGATCGACTTGCATCACCAAAACATATTTTCCTGTTATTCCGGTTGAGTGTCCACAAGCATCAATAAGCACTAGCAAACCTAAGGGCAATAAATTTCTGCAGCTGACACATAAAGACACCAAGGGAAGCAGGGAAAATGATTGCTGATGATTCGTTCTAACTACTTGACCTTCTGACCTCTTCTCCAGATATATGACCAGGATGGGACACTACAGCACTTTATTGATGGTGGGGAACCTAGTAAGTCGAGCTGGATGAGGTATATCCGATGTGCAAGGCACTGCGGAGAACAGAATCTAACAGTAGTTCAGTACAGGTAAAGTATATCTTGATTTACCACCTACAGAGCTGAAGCCATTTGGCTTGCATATACAAATTCAGGCTTGCCACTGGTGGGTTAAAAAAAAAAAAAATCCTGCAGAACTCTGGAAGGACTGGCAGACTTTTTTTTTTTTTTTTTTTTTTGCTTGATTTCTGAAACCTCCTTAGTTCCTATGACAGTAAGAGCATTCATGAACACTTAGGATTAAAAGTGCTAGTAGATGGCCTCCTTCACTCCGTGCACATGGTGAAGTTACTCCCACATCATTAGAACTTCCAGAATGGTCTCAATTAGCCCAGCAAACGCACTGACTTGGGGTGCTTTTCCCAAGCAGATGTATTCACACAGATAAGTAGATGGTCAGAGATTCAGCCTCAGGTCTCTTGCTTTCAGTCTCCTTCATGTGTCTCTTAAGTAGATGGTCAGAGATTCAGCCTCAGGTCTCTTGCTTTCAGTCTCCTTCATGCTGTCTCCTTTGAGGAATAGCTTTGTTTGCACAACAGCATGGGAAACCAAGAACTCTCTACCTTCCCACCCATACCTTTCCAAAACCGTTAGACTTAGTGGCAGTGACAGAGCCAGGGTAACTCTCCTGCTCCCTCTAAAGGTGGCAGTGGGTTTGGCCCTTTGATGATTCAGGATTCCTTTCAGTTCATGAGGCAGTTCCCAGGCATAGAGAAGCCCCTGGTTTCCCGAAAGGTATGGGCAAAACTCAGAGGATAACAAAGGCAGGGTGGAGCCATCCTCATTTCCCGTAGGGGATCCACACAGGGAGGCCTCTGGGGAGCTGAGAAGCAGGGTGGATTCTCCGGACGCTCAGTCAGTTCTTCCCAGTGCACCTGCTGGTGAAGCATTTCCATTTAGTGCTAGGGAAGGCTGGAGTGGAGACGAGAGGGCAAAAACGAATCAAATAGGAAAAAAGCCCCACCACTAAGCCTTCTTTTCTCAAAATCCCTCGAAAACGTGTGCCATATAAATATATGACCTCAGTTATAAACAGCCGTGTTCCCTTTAGAATCAGAAGCAACTGTTTAGCTTTATTAGGCACCACAGACACATCAAAGCAGAGGGCTCTGTGCTCAGCAACTTGGAGTCCTGCCTATGGCTATTTATTTTCCTTTCCTTTTTTTTTTTTTTTTTAAATGAAGCTTAAGTTTTTCTTTTTAACTTTCTTCCCCTTGTTGGTTAAAGGCTGCACAAATTTGGCTTGCTCTCTGAGGTCTTCAATTAAAAAAAATTTGGGCAGTGTGTGACTCACCGCCTTGGTTTTCAGTGCAGTTTTATTTCATTAAATAACGGTTTAAATGAAGTAGCACAAGACAGTATTTCATTACACTGCTGTATATGGACTTTGTTCACCTTTATTACAGCTGCATTTCTGTTGTGAGGTTTTATATAAAACTCTGAGCTAGAAAATTAGTGAAGGTTGTGCTTGTCCATTTAGTAAGATAGTTTGGTTCTGTAATGGGTACCCAAGGAGCTATTGAGGCAAATTCTGAATTTGGGAAAACAAGAACCCCCTAAGAGGAAGGTGGGCATGGGTAAGTCATTGCCTATCTGTCAATATTAAGTGGGTTTTTTACAACTCCCCCTTTCATGATGGTGCTTACACTATGAGCTCTCTCTACTGATCTGTTTTCGATTACTTCAGATCTTTACAAAATGAACTACAAAAACACAATTTTAAAAACTGGCATTCATCACCGGTGACCACGTCCAAGAGTAAGAAAATAGAAAAGTTGGACCCTGAAGAGCCAGTCTAATTTTTATTGTACATGAATGTCCGCTTCACAAAAAGTCAGCTGGTTTAAATTCATTCTGTTATGATTTGTAATATCTAAATGGAATTTTCTTCAAAGCGCCCTTGATTGATTGACCCTTAGCTGAACGTTTTGTTTTTATTTTGAGGCTGACAATAATGTTTGTTGGCATGTGTTCCACTTCAACTGCGTTGGGACGCCATGAAGCTATCTTTATGAGTCATCCAACCACAATACTAAATACATGTCAGCAAAGGAAATATTATCTGAAAAGGGAAAAATCCCTTTGATGTGCTTCAACATGCAGAGATTTCTGCGAGTTTTGGAAGCTCTGCCCGCTTGTAAGGAATGGTGTACGCTTACACATTTTTTTCCCCCTTTCGGCCTATTCGGTGCCTCAGAAGACCACCCATTGCTTGAAAACAGTTCTGCTCTTTCAGCAGCGAAGTGTGTCATTTGGTTTTAGCACATTCATTTGCCGGGCGCAGTGTTTATATTAAGGGAAGCCAAACCGAGAGATGAAATGTTGCAAGGGTGAAGTACAAAGTAGACTCAATTTTTCTCAAGTTAGGAGATGCCAGTGATTTATAGCTCAGCTCCAATTTTGATTTTTTTATGTAGCAGTGGAAAGAATTAATAAAATGCACAGCTCTTGGAGATGCAGAGGGAGGAAGGGTAGCAAGAGCTAGGCAACTGGCTGGAGTTTTTGTCAGATATTCATAGAATGTTGGGAAAAACATTCTGCTTAGCTAGCAGTGCCCTCGTGAGACAGAATGGCAGCAAGTAAGGAAAATAACAAGATAAATGAAATTTTTGCAGCTGCAAGTAAAATATTGAGAATCTGCACTTTTTTATTGATCTTTATGATCCTATTGCCAAGAGCCACTTTGTGGTGACAAAATATGTTGACAAGTGCATATCTCACTGCCATGAAAAATGTGGAGAAGCATTCGCCTTATGTCTGCAGTGTTATACAAGGAACAAATTGCCCTGCTACAGCCAATTCCTTACAGAAAGAAGAAATTTAAGGCCCACCAACCCTACACACTTTTATCTTGAACTTGAGGTTCATATTTGTAGCAATTCTTCATTGAGAAAACCAGTCTCAGTCTCCTTATTTTTTTTAATCTGTAGATTTTTTTAAAGTACCAAAGCTATTATAAAAAATGTTTATTTCTCATACCTTCACTGTATCATTTCAGAGTGTAATCTTTCAGCTAGAGTAAAGTGCTCCTCTTGTATTTATTGAATTTCCATCCATTTCACATAGGAATGTTTTTCTCTTCTCCTGTATCAAACCTTAGAAAAAGAGCAATGGAGAGAATTTTTATTTCCCTGAGTCCTTATATCACAAAGCTGCTTAATTTTATTACAAATTTGGGAACTCCCAACACCAAGTTGCAATAATACATTTAATGCTTTTCCTTCAAATAAGAGGTCAATAGTTTTTATATATGAGGTTGGGACACCAGTGTCTTTGCAATTTTCCTGAGAGGGAATTTTCTCATTAGTGTGAGATGAAATTTTTTTTTTAATGAACTCTTCCTTTCTGATGTCTCCTGGGCTAAATATCTGTCTCTTCAGCCAATTCGTTCTAGGGAGGGTCATTGTGGAAATAAACTGAATGCTGTTTATCATACTGAGTTACAGACTCTAATTGGTTGCTGGGGACAATCAGTTGGGTGTAGATTTATTACAAACAGAAACTGTTTAGATGGAGCTGAGCAGAACTTTTTCGGGGCAATAAAAATATGGATGGGGGCACATGAGTCCTATGTATTACTAAGCTGGGTTTTCTTTTGTTTTGAATAGGTCGAATATATTCTACCGAGCCTGTATAGATATCCCTAGGGGCACCGAACTTCTGGTGTGGTACAATGACAGCTATACGTCTTTCTTTGGGATCCCCTTACAATGCATTGCCCAGGATGAAAACTGTAAGAATTTATTTTAGCTCTGAATTCACATTTCAATTTACCTATTTCAAAGCTAACTTTTTAAGAGGTTTTTTTGAAACTCATGGAACGTGGTTCACTAAAATAAGTAACACAAACATATACAAGTCTGTTCCATTGTTTTCTTTTCCCTGCATGTCATCTGCTTTATTGTAGGGCATCTTAACCTGTATGGGCCAGTCCTTCACCTATTAACAACTTCAAAGCCTTTGCCAGATTTTAAATAATAGTTGAAGCAAGTTAAGTCAGCTGGTACTCACTGAGTACCAACTACGTGTCTGGCTCTATGCTTGCCACCTTAGGGATTACAAGAGCAGTGTAAGGTTCACCTTCTGCTCTGAAGGGATGTATAGTCTTGTGGGAGCCACACTGTATGCAAAAATGAAATAATAAGAAAGCAATGACATTTAATCAGGGGTAGCACCCCTTTAGTTGATTGGGTGTGCTTCCTCCTGCTTCCTCCTACATAGTCATTTGCATGACAAATAATATTTAAAATGGTAGATATGTGACTAAAGAATTTTTGTGTCTTTCTAAATTTTTTGTCTGAAACCATGTCTGGAAACATGTAATTTTCTCCTATCTTTATTACCGTACCAACCATTATCTTTAAAAGAATTAACACCTAGGCAAATGTAAATTTGCAGCAACTTTCATGTAAACTTTATATTTCTGCTCTATCAGTTATCTGAAAAGTATTTTAAAGTGATTTCCAGTATTTGGAACAGAATTAGCACTGACGTGCTTCAGTGAGAAACACTGATTTCAGTGATATTGTGTTTTCTTGTCACCAAATTGACTAATTTGTGACCTGATAATTTGATGTTATGCTACAAAAAGAAACAAATATAACAGATGTCTTTTGATAATGGATAAGAAACTTCATTTTGAAAAAAGTGGTTTTTTTTTAAATCATTTTCTTCTCCTCTTTCTCGCACATGCACTCACACACCAAAAACTACAATTTAAAAATGCTCATATTATGACTCATCAAAATGCTGATGGTCAGATATTTCTTTCCCATTTTGTCTTTAATTTCTTTGTAAAAAGAAAAATCATCAAAAAGCCTATTACTATCAACTTTCCTTTTCTATTTTACCCTAACCCCAAAACCAACATCAAATCAAAAAATGAATCTTTGGACATATAGTACATTCCTCTGACATTTCAAGCTTCCACTGGAAAGTTTATTTTCTGCTGCTATATTCCTGTTTGAGGGGGTTCCTGTTTTCATAGGAGAAAATCTCAGTGTTGGCCGTGAGTATGCAGTGAGAGGCAAATGTAGATGTGGAAGCCACTGTGCTCTGCCTCAAACAGAATGGCTCCATGCCCCATGCCCCCAAAACTAGATCTTTATCTATGCACAGAAAGGCATCAGTGTCAGCCAGCCTCCCCATCTGCTAACATGGACTTGTCTGTATGTTGGAACCTTGATGTAACCATCTAGAGTGTTTGATCCAAGAGGATTCTAGAAATCTCACGAGATCCTCTGTTTCTTCTTTTAATACAACCTGCTACAGACTGAAGCTGTTGTTGTGGTGTGAGTGTTGAGGAATGTCTAGAGTAAACATATCGAGGCCAAATATTTATTCGTTCATTGTTCAGATGTATAAGGAACACCTACAATGAGCCAGTGTCTTTGCTGGGTGATGTAAATATAGCAGTGAACAAAATGGACAAGAATCCCTGCCCTCATGGAGCTTACATTCTAATGAGGGGAGACAGATTATCAACAGATATATAAGTAAATAAATAGTTGGCCAGATGGTGATAAGTGTTGTGGGCTAATAAAGCAGAAAAGAGATAAAGAGGTGCCAGGAGTTAGGAGTTATAGTTTCAGAGAGTGAACGGGGTAAGCTCCACTGGGGAGGTGGACTTTGGGCAAAGACTTAAGATGGTGAAGGAACAAGCCATGTGTTAGTAGGTAGAGCATTCCTGGCAGCCAGACAATTACAAGTCCCAAGATGGGAATGTTCCTGGCATGTTGGAAGAGCATCACAGAGGTCAGCATGGGTGAGGCAGAGTGAGTGAGGTGAAGAGGGGTTAACTTAGATGTGGGTGGGTGCTACGGCAGGGAAGACCTTCTAGGGCCCTGGAGGCCATTGTCAGGACCCTGGCTCTGACTCTGTGTGAGCCGGGCAAAGGGGGCTGTTGTAGGGTTTTGAGAAAAAGAACGATTTGACTGAATTTTTTTAGGAATACTCCCTGAGTGGAGACTGGACAGGGGGAAGAGCAGGGAATCTAGCTAGAGGCTCTTGCAGGAATTCAGGGGGAGAGATGATGGTGGTTTGGACTAGCATGGAAGTGGTGGAGGTGGTGAGAAGTAGTTGGATTCTGGATATGTTTTAAAAGTAAATTCAACAGCATTTTCTTACACGTTAGATGCTGAGTGAGAAAGAGGAGTCAGGGATGACTTTGAGGCTTTTGGCCTGAGGAGCTGGAAGGATGGCATGACCACTTACTGAGCTCTGAGCCAGAAATGGAAACTGTGGAGTGACCACTTAGGAAATGCATTTCTTACCCTTGACCTGGATCTCTGGAGTGCAAGACTCATATCTGCATGGTGCTTCCACCTGACAATGCTGTCACATGGACGGGAGGGATTGTGGGGTTGGAGTAGAGCATTTTTGGGTCTGTGTGCCATTCACAGCCACCTGACAATGGGTGTCTAAGAGCATACCAGGCCTTCAGATTTGGTGCCACCATGCCAAAAATGTACTTTCTGGAAAAAACATACCAGTTTGCTTTTCAATTCTTCTTTCTACTAGTGTCTAACCTGAGTGAAGCATTCTTGAGATTGATGATTAGAGTATTGAATAAACTCTACCAGGATATATGATATATCATTTAGCACCTGAAGTCCTTGAGAGAAAATTTGCAAAGTTACAACAGCTTGAAGTATTGTAGACTCAGTAGGAAAACTAAGTAGTTCTTTTGGGTTCTGTTCAGAGCTCTAAGTAACGGTTGAGCGAAGTTTAAAAGGAATTAAGCCATTGACTAAAGTGCTCAACAGTGACAATCCCCTTTCCCCCAAGGGTATTATAGGAATTTTATTTCAGTTCCTGTCTCAGAGTCATATATCTGTCATGTGATTGGCCACCCAAGAAACCAGCAGAAGGCTTCATCAGATAGTGTGGGGGAGATATATGACTTTGACTGCCTCTAAGATGGATTCTCATTCCATGTGATTCACTGGGAGACCTGGGAACACCTAAATGAGGATTCTTTCTTCTGTGCTAAGAAAATACTCTGTGATTTAAAAGCACAAATGTGTGAAAGGGCATGGACAGATCATTTAACAGATAGCCTTCCACAGCCCTGAGTAATTTAAATCATCTCTACTGGATTAGCAATTCTAAGACAATTTTTATCCCACTGAGCTAGCCACGAAATAAATCAGGTACCTAAAAAGAAGCTTCTTGAGATCAAATACTTTTTCGATAAAATACCTCCACAGAGCCTCTTTATAGTGCTATGTGCACAGTGAACAATGAAGAATGTGCACTGAATAAATACTGAGAATTTCTATACCATTATTAGAAGGGATTAATTATTTCAGGCAGATTTTTTGTTGTTGTTAATGAAATTGATACCTGGACCAAGGCATTCAAGGAAAATATGATTTTACTTACTGAGTAATATTAAGCACCTTCAGTTATAAAAATATAACTTTCTTCCCATGGTTCTTTCAACATTGAAAGTACACATTTCCTATCGAGCGTGTGCGGTGGGTTTGGGTTCAGGACGTGCCCCCTCCACTGGCGGCCCCAAAGCAGGGTGGCTGTGGGTACACTCACTGCCCGGACAGCTCATTGAAAGCCGCCTTGACTCAGAGAAGACAGCAGTTCAACAGGCATTTGGGTTCTGGAAGCAATTCCTATGTTATTTTCTTTTTAAAAAAGTCGTATTATAAATGTAATAGAGCTCCAAAGAGAGCGCCTTTCCATCCACTGTGGGCCTTTCAAAAGAGCCTGAAGGAACGCCTGTGTCGACAGATCGCATCCGCAAGAAGGAATGAGGTTCCCCAAAGCTTCCAGTGGGGGATTAGCTCCTGCAGAGTGTAAAGACCTTAGTGTATTCATATTCATTTCAGAGGAAATTAAAAAAAATCCTGGGAATAAATGTTAAACAAGTCTTCCTGCTGCTTTTTCTGTCTCGGCATATGAAGCTGAGGTGGCAGAATGTGAACCTTGATGGCAACAGGGGAGTTGCTGCACCAGAGTAAACCCTGCCTCCTCGAGGACCCCTGCCTTTTTCTTTTGATTTTAAAGAGCAGAAAATAAAAAGGGGGACCTCTGCACGGTGCCCCTTACCCCCACTGTTCCACCAACAGTGAGAAACTAGGTCAGAGTCAGGAAGGCCCTACTCAAGCCCTTAGCGGTGACCTTTAGAAGATTATGTATAGTTCAGTCCACAAGACCATCTGTGCAGGGCCCCAGGGGAAGCATTGTGATAGGTGCAAAAACCCAGGCCCTGTCCTAGAGGAGCTCAGTCTAGAAGAGAACACATAAGCACATAACCGCGATATCAAACACCGTGCAGATGCTGCATGAGGTGGCCACAACAGAGAGCGTGAGCTTGTGGCTGTCAGGCTCTCTATGTCATTCAGCTGGGAGGAGTCCAGGTTCCAGGCCTCTTGTGTACAGTGCAAAGCTGGGGTTGGCTTAGAATCAGGAGCCAAAAAATACTATCCTGTCCCTGAATGGGGAATAGAAGAATGCTGCCCTCAAGCCAGTAAGCTAAGGGAATGTCCATCTTGGGGCATTGGTAAAAACAGTCATACTCTAAAAACTAGCCCTAGCCGTAGGATGTTATGAGGCTTGATTTTGCACTACTTGCCAGCTATGGAAACCCTGAGCCAACAGACTAATATAAAAATTGGTCTAGAGCTGTTGAAACCTGTAGGTTCCTAGAAGAACAAAGAAGTCACTCACCAGGGATGCTTCTGACTCTTCTACAAGACTCCAGCAAGAAGGCAGCAC